TCATTGAACCTATTCTCAACAGGTTTTGTTTCCTTTATCTTTAGTTTTAGGAATTTGATTGTCACAGGGCCCTGGTCAGGACTATTCTGGTCAAACATGCTAAGTTTCTCTCTCACTCTCAGTCTACTGTCTTTTAGTTCTCGGAGTTGATTCCAGAGGCACTCTATCACTCAGATACACTCCCAGCCCTTTTTATTTATAGTTTTGAGAGGGGATCTTGCTAAATACTTAGGGCCACGCTAAATTGCTGAGGCTGACCTTGAACTTGCAATCCTCCTGCCTCAGCTTCCTGAGTGGCTGGGATTACAGGTATGTGCCACCATTCCCAGCTCATGTGAGGTCTCTCTAAATTGGCATTTATAAGCAGTATTCTTGAGCTCCTTAGCAAATTTTTCCAGTTCCCTTCAGCAAAGCTGCCCTGTTCTATCCTGACATAGTGGGCACTGGCTCACTTTGGTCTCTACTTGCATTTTGAAATGGATCACCCAGTAATTCTAGCCCAGATAAGAAGATGAGCATCTCTTGTTATGAAAAAAAAAAGATAGAGAGAGAGAAGGTAGGGGTAGGGCACTGAGGGCCTGCTGTGGAACCAGGCCTGTTTGGTCTGCAGCACAGAATGCCTGGTCACTGGCAAAATGAGTTTTGCAAAAGAAACAGACTTTATTCCCAAAGTGACTGAGCATAGACCAGAAGACCAAGCCTCAAATATGCTTCCCTGAGGATGGTTTTTATTGTGAGATGAAAAAGCAAGATGAGTTAAGGTGTGGAGAAAGGTGATTGAAGCCATTGGATTAAAGGTGATATAAAATAAGTTGAAGGTGAGGGGGCTGGAGGTGTAACTCAGAGGTACAGCACTTGCCTAGCATACTATCTGCAAAGATAAAAATATAATAACAAAAACTTGTCAAGATAGAAATAAGCAGCATTGCTTTGCTTCACCATTGTACTCTTGATAAAGCAACTATTTTCAGTAGGTTCTCCTTTAAATCAGACAACTTCCTCATTTCCCAGTATTCTGCTAGTTATTTCTGATTGTCAGTCTTGAGGAGGCAAATGACATGCTCAACTCTGTTGTGTCCTTAAAACACAATCCTCTTTGCAGCCCACCTCCAGCTCTGGGTGGCAGTCTGGCTCTCATTCTTTACAACTAAATTTCCTGGATTTTCTAAGAGGCTGTGTCTCTTCCCATGCCTGTGTCCACTCAGTTTGGTGTCTGTGCCATCCACTGCCACTGGGTGACTGTTGACATGGCAATAAGAGGTGACCTTCACTGAGGTCCACCAGCTTCAATTCAAATGC